GGCGACTTTGTACGGTTCAAGCGCGACAACCAGGCTCTTTTCGGGCGTGTGGACCATATCTTCGTCCTCGACAACGACCAGGACAGACACATCTTCACAGTACTGACATTGATCAAGCGTACAAAGACTCGACACGAGCTCCTGGACTTGGAGATCATGGAGGAGACGGAAGATGCTGTGGTGGTTGGGGTGCCTACCATTCGCGCTGTGCGTCTCTACATGGTGCCGGTCAAGGGCGTTGGTATCATTTGGGTGAACTGGGACGTACATACGTTGTGAGAGCGTGCGATGTAAGCTGCCCATTTCTACCTCCCCTCATGACGCCTGTGTCAGTAACGAACTGGTGACGTGGTAGACGCATTACCTAGGCATGCTAGGGTAGAGGGCAAAGACAACCGTGAAGGTGGCGTTGGCCCTCCTCTCCTGCCAACCGACAGACCGACAGCGCTTCCGTTCAATCAGATCAACCGGTCGCAGAAAGGGCTAAAAGGACTTGCATGATGTCTGGACCCGCCGATCTGAAGTTCTCCGCCGGGGATGGATGCACACGACTCCCGTCTTATGGAGGGGTCATCTGGATTTTGAGATAGGGAAATAGACGCTGAATGCGGCAGTGGTTCAAACTGCCGGAGTGCAATGACAAAGCGCAACAGAGGGTGCAATGGCAGGATGCAATGTGAGTGCAATGGGGGTGCATCGGAGCGTACGGAATACACCAGGCTAGGCGCTGGATCAGGCTGCTGCAGGTGCGGGCGTGGGAATGCTAGTTGAACTGAGAATGCTAGTTGAACTGGGAATGCTAGTTGAACTGGGAATGCTAGTTGAACTGGGAATGCTAGTTGAACTGAGAATGCTAGTTGAACTGGGAATGCTAGTTGAACTGGGAATGCTAGTTGAACTGGGAATGCTAGTTGCCAGCGCTGTCAAAACTTTTCAAGCTATCATAGCGCTGTAAAATAGCGTTCTCACCCCCTTCAAAACCCCGCTGCGGTACTTAGTCCTCTCCCATGCCCATCAACAGCATGGTCAATCAATCACTTTTACCACCTTAAAAATTCAATCCACTGCTTTGACTGGGAATAGCTTCTTCCAGCGCATATCTCAGCGGTCGTCGCCCTGCAAGTTCCAACACATTGCGGATACCAATGTAAGGTAAATCCTGTTCTCAGAAGCTGTAGGAGTTCTGGGGCCATTTAGGTTTGAATCGTCTCTTTTATGACATCCACTTCATTTCCCCACTCCTTTGCTCTACTATGGAAATCTGATGGGTCGTTATCTTCTCATTTCCATTCCCTCTTCTCGCGTTCTCCAGCCCAACTATAACCGCATCCCCAAGGCATCTGATCATCCGAAGTTGCGAGCGTTGTGCCAAGCCCGGCTTGGCTCACGTAATCTTACCTCTGCTGGTCTGGCTGCAGCGAGGGAGTTTTGTGAACATTCGCACAACTGCCCAGCCAACCACGACGAAGACTTGTGAACCCAGTCTCGCGTCGCACTCCTTACCCAAGGTAGATAAGTCAGCAACACCCAGGGCCCTATCCCTCACCTCGTCACGCTCTTAGGTTCGAAACCTCAAGACAATGCCCAATTCACCACTCCAAACCGCCTCCTTCAATCTGACATCCAAACCTCCGCCGTTTCCAATTCGACCCTTAAAACCAGCATATCTCACAAAACCCTTCCATTCAGACCCTTCAGACAGAAAATATTCAAAGAAAACAACCACACAATGCCCCTCCTCCGCTACAACCTAGCCCCGACCCTAAACGGGTACATCGCTTCCCTGCCCTCGCACTCCACCCCCTGGATCGTCGAAGACGCCACAATCGACTTCCCGGCCCTCTACGACGAGTTCTCGTCCTTCGTCATGGGCCGCAAGACCTACGAGACCTTTCTCAAGCTGGCCGAGCTCGAGCCGGGCGTCAACGCGAACCCGCTTGCCGGTCGGCCGAGGGAGAGCGTGGTCGTCTTTTCGCGGGACGAGGGTTTCAAGAGGGAGTTTGGCGGGGTGCTTACTGTTGTGGATGGGGAGGAGGGGGTTGAGGTTGTTAGGCGGTTGAAGGAGGGGTCGGAGGGGGGAAAGGACATTTGGCTGATGGGTGGCGGGGAGCTGGCGGGGTTGTTGATGACGCGGGGCCTGGTGGATGTTGTGGAGGCGGCGATTATGCCGGTTGTGGTGACGGAAGGAGTGAAGATGTTTGGGGAGGGGAAGGCTGGAGACGGGGACAAGGGGGAGGCTGGGTGGAAATTGGTCTTGGAGAAGGTGGAACAGTTGAAGACGGGGATCTTGATGACGCGGTATAAGGTGCTTTATGACTGATCTGCTATCGCCTGTGCGTCTATGCATGCGTCTATGGTCCAGTAAGCGCCACAATGATATGCTGTTGTGATGCCTGCTTCCTACACACGCTCCATCTCAAGCCCGGCCGAGTCGCTCTCGTGCGGCCGCTTGTCAATGGCGGCGGAAAACCTATGCGACATCTGCGGGAAGAACACGCCCGGCGCGAACACGGCCAGCAGGGCGCACGCAATCAGGACCATGAACGACTCGAGCACGATAAACGATGGCTCGTCCTGCATAATGTGGTTCCCCCAACCGCCCGCCATCTCGGCGATACGGTAGATGCAGCGGATCAGCAGGGTCGCGTAGGCAATTCCCATGGCCCACAGAAACGTGCGAAACTTTTTGTCCACCCACAATGCCGCACCGCCTTGATACTCAGGTGCGACGGCGCCGCTCCGGAAATACTTGGCGGCCCGAAACAGATAGTCTCCCGCCAGCAAGCCGAAAGCGCCCAGCACGACGACCTGCAGGACGATGCCTGCCATAATTGTCCGGTTCCCGTGCTGCAGCAGCTGGTAACTGTTGCGGCCAGCAGAGGCCGCAATGCCGCCGCCGATGGCCTGCACCACCAGACAGGAAACGTCGGCGGGGACAAAGATGATGGGATACACGCGAGGCGCAACGCGGCTCAGGGAACGGTTGAGAGCAGTCACGGTGTGCTTCAGGGTGAGGTACAGGCCGATGCAGACGAGGGTGGGGCCGAGGACGATGGCGACGATCTGGATCTTGAACGCATCACCATTCCACGGGTTGATGGCGAGGAGAGCGCGACCAACGTAGCCTGCGGGATATTAGAGACTGTAGTCGAGGATTTGCGTTGCAGTACGCGGATTAGGGGCGACCTACCGACGCACTCAAGCGCACATCCTGCTGCCACGGCAATCGAAAACCCCCATGTCCGCTTCCACACGCCGATGACGAGGGTAATCAACGCGGCCAGCCCAAAGCCGATAGCCAGAAAGATGTTGACGCCTTGGTTAGGGTAGTAGCCGAGCGTGGTGGCCTTGACGGGACAATAAACCGACACCTCAGGACAGGTCTCGTAGCTGGGCCGCCAGCCTGGAGGAAACGACTGTGCCGACATGACCTGAGTGTCGTACTTGACCGACCTGAACTGGTGTCGGGGACCCAAGAGAACTGCAGTCGGCGTCACAAAGCAGAGCGGCGGGGAAAGATACCGCAAGCCCGGAGCGAAACACGGGGGTATCGACCCAGGGGGACGGCGCACAAGCTCACGCCGAGAAGAGACGACGACACTTTAAACGAAAGACTTGTCTGAGAAAAGAGGAGAAACATGGAAAGGACGAAGCGCAAATGATGCCATCTTTGATGGACTGGAGCCCGGATGGGCCGGGCTAGGCAAGAGGCTCAAATATTACTCAGAGTTGCATTGCACCGAGTTGTTGGATCCTCGTCTTTGGGATCCCTTCGAAATCCCGCGCTGTCAGGCTGGTGTCGTTGTGCAATTCGAGCCTTGAAAGGCGTCGCGTGGGTAGGCGGCGGGGAGGCTTATCGGGGATTTTAAGCGACGGGCCGGAATTCTGGATCCAAGGCACACAGATCTGTGCGAATCCGAATGCACATGCCCCAGGGGTCGGCCTCAAAGATTCTAAGGTCGGAATTCGATTGGCTCAAGGGTTTGCAAAGCAACCGAGTACGGTTAGATTCACGACCGTCGTGTGCTTGTAAGCGATCCAACGGTGCCCCGCCAGCCCATCTTGGCATCTTGGAATTTTGGAAACTTCCACATCCTCTTCCATCACACTCCTCCTAAAACCTCGAAAACAGACAAATCCACCAATCACTTTGGAAGTCGCCAATTCAAGCATCGGGTATTATCGTGCAGGGCGATACTCTCGCTGCCAGTACCGCCATCAGTCGCTGTGCGTGGTGAAGGTCAGAGAGCGCCAAAACTACAACCGCATCTCATCTGAGCTGATCTGGGGCAAAACTTGAAACACGTGCGTGGACAGGGGCTACAATGCAGGGGCGTGCGGATCATTCGATTAATCCACCACCCGAAGCATAGTGTAGTGTGGTAGACCGACCCCCCACCCTGGACCGGTCAAGCTGGCCGTTCGGCAAGCCGAAACTCGTCAACCTCCACAGCAACCACAGCAACAAACCGTCCTGACTGGAAGCCTGACCTTGCGCGGCACACCCACGCCACACAGGAGAGCGGGTTGATTGCGACCTTCCACTGCCCGCGTCGTTGATGGACCATGGATCTGGAACATGCCCCTCTCAGAGACACACCTGACCCTGCGTAGCGTATCCGTCACCACGTGGCAGCCCACCTAGCCGCGGCCGTTTCGCCGATTCCTGGCATCCCGCAATTCCACCCACTCACCGGCCCGCGGCTTCGAGAGTTGTTCAGCCAATCACTCGAGCCCCAGCCAGTCTTGATGCGGGAGCATCTCGACCTTGCTAGATTCAATGCCGTCATCCGAGTCGCCCGCCTCGGCATCGCCCGTTGACCAGGCCATTCCGCCGCCAGACCCCAGCAGCAGAGCGTCGGATCCATCCATACAACAACCCCAGGGGTACCCCAGCATTGGCCGCCGGACGCACAAGAAGAGCCGCACCGGCTGTTCAACGTGCAAGGCAAGGAAGATCAAGGTGAGCCTCTTCACCCTCGCACCCTCGCTGTTCTCCCTGCTCAGGCGTCTCAGTGCGACGAGAGACATCCCGCGTGTCTCAACTGCATCTCCCACGGTGTAGAATGTCCTTTTCTCAAAGGAGGTGCGGTGGCCAAACCGTCCACCCGCGCCTCAAAACCAAAGTCCCGGTCGACAGCCTCGCCCGCTACCCCCTCGACTGCCGGGCCCAGTCCAGTGTCGATGCTCCCCGAGAGCGGAGCCCTCCCGCTCCTGGAGCTCGAACTCCTCCATAACTTCACCACAAAAACCTACACTACGCTCACCGCAGACCCCAGCCTCTGGGAATTTTGGCGCGATGACGTCGTCCAGCAGGGCCTGGCCTGCGACTATATCATGCGCGCCGTGCTGGCCGTCAGCGCGCTGCACCTGGCCTACCACCGACCAGACCGCCGCGACTTCTACATAGAGGAGAGCATCCTGCTGCACCAGAAAGCATCCCGCTCGGCGATGCGCGTCATGGCCGCCGGCGGCGACAAGATGGACAAGCACCAGGCCGCCAACCTCTTCCTCTTCAGCGTGCTAACCTTCTTCTTCGCCCTTGCCTCCCCGCGCCGATCTCACCCGGACGGCACCTTCTTCATCGGCGACTCGGGCGTCCCCGACTGGGCCTTTCTTCTCTCCGGCGGCAAGTCCGTGTTTGGCGTGCTCGGCGAGCGAGGCCTAGAAACTGTCGCGGGACCCTTCCTGCACTACGGCCGCGGCCGCTGGAACGCCCAGCGCGCCATCATGGAGGCACGGTCGCACGAGCCGCCCTTGCTCGATCCGCTGCGCGCCCGCATCGCCGCCGCCGTGTCGGACCCCGATCTGCTCCGCACCTACGCGTACGCTGTCGATGAGCTGGAACTGGCGCTGGTGGTGCGCCAGGACCCGGACGCGCCGAGGGACGTGCTGGACGCCATGGTGTGGTTGTGGATGGTCTCCGACTCGTTCGTGCCGCTGCTCAAAGTGCCTGCCCAGGAGGCCGTGGCGATATTTGCGCACTACTGTGTGCTGCTGAAGCATCATGAGAGTCATTGGTGGCTGCAGGGTTGGGGAGATCATGTCATGGCCAGGGCGCATGAGATTTTGGATGAGGAGCATCGGGCGTGGATTCAGTGGCCGCTTCGGGAGATGGGCGGTGTGCTTGTTGGGAGCATGGAGAGGTGAGCGGCCGGATCGGGGTGAATGGGGGTTGGAAAGAGAGACCTGCCTGCCGAAGCTCGCTGTACAGGCGAATCGAGACAGGCTGTGTCGCGGCCTCAGAGCTCAAAAGACAAAACACGAGTTGGGAATTATTCGCCGTTGATGCCGTCCGGTGCTCCAGTACATACAGTATGTTTCAATCTTGATTCTGGACGTATTGTACCAGGTACCTGGACTCTTGAATTTGCCGCTCCGTAATCGAAGAATGACAGCACAGAGTATCAATGCACCTGGAAGCGGAGAAGCCGAGATTGCCCCATGAGACAAGGAGACAGGGAACAGACTCGGAGCTAAGGGGAGGAAGAACAGATACACACACACACACACACACAATTTATTCCGCCCGGTGGGCCTAACCCGAAAGGGCAACTAATCCCCATCTACTAATACATTTCCTAAAATGCAACCTGGTCTCCTGAAGCCTATACGTCCTTCCTCTTGCATAGTCTCAATCTTCTGCCGTTTCTCTGCGTATACTCGTGGGTCAGTAATATCATGAGTAAGCCATCTCGAAGGCCCTGCTCCAAGTGTTCAACGTCCTATCCTCGGCGGTTGAAGCGTGCTTACTCAGCGTCGTACGAGATGGGTGGTGGTGGTTCGAGTGGTGATGATGGGTTAGTGGTGAAGGGTGTATGCTGTCCCGGTCTGTGGTTGGTCTGCGTCTAGACGGCCTGTAGCCATTGCGAACCGTATAGCTACCCGCACCGCTTGCATATCCGGTGACCAGTTCTTGTCATCAGAGGGCGACTTCCCTCCTAGGAAAAGGGAGAGGTTGCCCCTATGGGTATCTGTGTATTGAAGCATGCCTACCCGGTGTTCAGTCCATTGTCTGCATCGAAATCTGAAGTGATCCACCGTCTCTCTCGCTTTTCCGCATGTACATTGGTCTGACGATGCCGCTTGGATACGATGGAGGTATACGTTGAGTTTGACCATGCCTGTCCTAAGCTGAGCGAGCACGCTAGCCTCTTTTCGTGATAGTTGGTTGTATAGCAGTCGGGTGTGTTTTCCTGGCAGCGCGATGTCGACCCTCTTAGAGTGTCTTCCTACTTTGCCCGGTAAGGCTTTAGGCAGTGTCCGCTTGCCCCATGCGATACGGAGGGTCGTCGACCGTATTCCAGGTTCCCGGACCTATAGTATAATTGTAACGGGCTGGGCCCGGTGCGAGCCTCGGCGACTCTCGGCCAATACCAAGACCCCTGATGAGGCTATTCCCACTCGCCCCACAGCACACCGAACCTTCTAGCAACGCGCTCAGACCAGCGCGCC